TATTGAAAAAAATAAAATCAATGAGATCAGGATAAAAGCGAACAATGGACAGACGGAATCTCAGGAGCATGGCGACTGGAGGTCGTGGAGAAGCTCAGACTGAGAGCAAAGGCAGGCCCCTGGGGAGCATCCCACACCTTCCCTCGTGTAACCCTGGCAGCAGTCCTGTCTGCACGATTCCTATCCCCGCTGTTACCCCTGTTTTATGGATGAAGAACTAAAGCTCAGAGAAGCTGTGGGCTCACATAATGACATACAGCGAGTGCCTGGTCTGCAACCGAAAGCCCACCCCGAAGACTCTCTCTGGTGAAAATGGTGTTAGGAAGCTTACACAAGCAGATATGAACGCTCAGACGCCCTCCGTGAAGGGTTATAAATCAGTATCACCATTCCCTTCTCCTGGACGAGGCACTGTTGTGGGCTCCATCCCCGGTTGGGGGCTCCATCCCCAGTTGGGGGCTCCATCCCCGGTTGGGGGCATCTCATCATTGATGTTTCTATCTCTCTCCCTCTCCCTTCCTCTCTGAAATTAATATATTTTTAAAAATAAATAAAAATTAAATAAATATAGATAGAGAAGACCTGAGCTTAAACGAAAACCTAAGAAACCCGGTAATTGCTTGGTCCTCACTACGCGCCCACTCCCCAGGGTGATTGCAGGTGAAGAGCCTGAGCCTGGGACTGAAAAGCACTTGTCTCCCATCTTTACTACGTCCTGTAGCAGCCAGAGCCAGAGCATGTTAGTGCCATCAAGATAACAGCCACCATCTGCTAGGCCACTGCGTGCTGCCGCCTCTCTGGGATGGTGGGTGTTTGTCGTTTTATTTCATTTTCATCACAGCGCTAACATGCAACGGGCATGGTTCTCATTTCACTCGTTGGGGAACGAGGGGCCAGGGGGCCTGCCTGAGGTCGCACATTGGGGTGCAGCTTTAGAACCTCCAGCGATGACCCTGAGGCAGGGGGACCCAGCTTTGGGAAGGGAGCATGCGTTAAGGTGGTGGTTGTCTGCGTGATGTCCGCTCATCTGGCCAAGCTAAAACGTCTGCTTAGAAAAAGGGCTGCCTTTGGCTCTTTCTGAACGGAGCTTTACCAAACAGGGGGGCTGCGGGGATGAGAAAATGAAGCCTCGGTAAATAAACGAAGAGCCATTTAAAAGGACATTTCCAGACAACAAAGAAAGCCAAGAACATTCTGAGAATGTGGCCTGAAGAGCCCTCTGCCAGAGGAGGGGAGGGGCGGGAGCCGGCACATAGACAAGCAGGGGCTGGGCTGGGCGGGGGCCTGGACAGTGTCGCCCCCACCGGCCCCGCGGCCTGCCCCCTTCCCCGAGATTAAAGCGGAGACTCCGACTCCAGCCCTTTTCACTGAGACAGCCTCGCTCCCGCCGCTCCCTCAAGTGACTCCCCCGCCCTTTTTCTGTCTTTCTTTTCTTAAGACGAGAATATCAAAAGGGCTGCCCGAGAGGCCGAAATCCCACTTATCTTAAAAGGCTCGCAGACACTCACAGCAGTGATGTGTCCAGGTCAGCTCTGAGCCCGCGACTCTTTTCCTGTCTCTTTTATCGGCCAGGCAGTGAGGCACCTCTGTCTAAACCAAAGCCGGGGTCTGTCAACAGCAGCTATTGAGTTCCCGAAATGG